TGGTTTCTCCATTTTAAAATGGAGAAGAGATTTCTCCCACCCCGTTTAAAAACAGAAAAGTTACTATTTTTGTCCTGGGAACCCTCTTGTACAAATGTCCACACCTGAATGTTTTCTGTGCTTCTTTCCAGCCCCAAAAGGGGAGAGCTCATCTAAACTGGAAAAACCTGTGGCAGCTCATCAGGAGGAGAAGGCCCCAGTGGAGAGTGTCCCAGGCCCAGCAGCAGGACTGCAGGTGAGTCACCCCTGCCTGGAGCTGTCTGGACAAACTCCCAGCTGGCAGCAGGTTGCAATTTAAAGTCTTTTGTCTTCAAAAACATTGCAGTTACTGGTAGGTGTGGTGTGCTGCAGATAGGAAGTGCACACAAAAGCAGCCTGTGCCTCCTTGCACAAGCATTCTGAGAAGCTGGGATACCCTGCCCAGCACAAACGCTTTTCTTCCCTCTCAGAAATTTCTATTTTTGTATTATTTTTTTTTCTTCTGATTGGCTTCATCTTCCCATCATGTCCAGTTTCTTCTTAGAAAAATGGGAATCTTGAGGTTCCCACATGGAAAGGGATGTTTTGCCAGAGCAGAGTCGGTTTTACAGCCAGAGTTCCAGATTCCTTAAAGTTTCTGCTGTTCAGTTTAAACTTTCTTTCCATTTTGATCCATGTATCAGGAATTCTGATGGCTGGTTTGTTTTTAAACATGCAATGCTCTCCATTTTTACTTGCTACCAGATCTGCTTGGTAAACTGATCACTTGCTATGGAAAAACACATATTAAGGGAGCAAAATGGCTGATGGGGCACAGATTGGACCTTTGGATTCTGTTCCTTGGTTGGTGACAACTCATTTTTCATCTGTGTCTCTTCCATTTAGTGCAGAGACTTTCTCTCCTTCCTGTTCCTTGCATCAGCAGCCCTGACCTTAAAGTAGCTTAACTTCAGTTTATTTTCTGCTGTTGTGGATCATATTAAGAACAAATGCAAAGGCTAAATTCTTGAGTAAAAGTATTTCTGAAAGCCCAAGGGAAAACCTGGGCTGTGCCATGAGACTGCAGTGGGATCTCACTGCCAGTGACTGAGGACAGAATCAATTTTGTTCATGGAGCCAAGAAACAGGCATTCCAGGACCTGCCTGCTGCAGCTGACATCTTAGTGGTGACAAAGCTTCAGAGCTGTATCAGGGCTCCTTATGAAAGAAGAGTGTAGATCAGAGCCCAGTTTTTTTGTCCTACTTTGGTGTACAGTTATCTTCAGCCAGAATCAGCTGGCTACTTGGCAGGAAGAACCAAACCTTGCCCACTCCAAGTCTTGTTCCTGTGCTTAGGAATGTGAGGAGCAGAGAGTCTTCAGCCCTCCCTGGCAGCCTGAGCTGACTCTGAGGGCAGGGATGGAAGTCAGCAGGA